ATATTTCACTTTTTGATTAAATGATTTGAAAGTGGTAAAAAGTTTTTTTATTTTTTGGTGAAATGATTGAATTGTGGGAAAAAGTAATATAGCGCCGCAGGCGAAATGATTGAATTGTGAAAAAAAGCAGCCTAGCGCCGCAGGCGAAAAATTATTAAAAAAAATCGCGCGATTTTTTTGAAATAATTTTTCACTTTTTGGTAAAATGATTGAATTGTGGGAAAAAGTAACATAGCGCTGCAGGTGAAATAATTGAATTGTGGAAAGAAACAGTCTAGCACCGTAGGCGAAAAATTATTTGAAAAAAATCGCTCGATTTTTTTGAATTCAAAATATATTTGAATTACGTGTGTTCACCCTGTTTTAAACAAGACGATTATAAATTTTTCGATTTTTTTTGTCGATTCGAAAGTTACAAAACACAGGCACTGGCTGTTAATAGGTTGATATAAATGATATGGACCATATTGTATATCAATCAAAAGATATTTCAAATACCATTGCATTGATATCCATATCGAATAATAAATAGTCAATCTATACAAATGCATTCTATAAAAACCAAATTTTTTTTAAAATATTAATTTTTAAAGTTATCTAACTTCTGCATTTCATGAGTTAGGTCTTTCAAACATACAACATATGAAAGCTTATAATGTTGTCTATAAGATTTCATGTGACATAAAGTACCTTTATATCGATTTATTTTTGAAATAACGGTACTTTTGTAAAAAAAAAATAAATAAAAATATATACAAATTGCCCCTGGCTCTCAATGGATTAATGATATAAGTTACAATATACATCAATTGAAAGGTATTTCAGAGACCTATCCACTGATACCCATATCAAACAATAAGCACTTGAGATTTATACTAACATATGATAAAAATCAAAATTTACGAAAATATAAAATTTTAAACTTAAATAACACCTGCATTCCATGGGTTATAGCTTTCAAACATATATCAAAGGAAAGCCCCAAATGTTGTCCACAAACATTCACATAAGATGAGGTACCGTTATATCGATATGTTTTAGAGATAACGGTACTTTTTTAAAAAAAGACAAATGAAAAAACAAAAAAATTCACCCTGGTTCTCAATGGGTTAATGATATAAGTTACAATATACATCAATTGAAAGTTATTTCAGAGACCTATCCACTGATACCCATATTGACCATATCAAATAATATGCACTTTAGATTTATAATTACATATGATAAAAATCAAAATTTATGAAAATATAAAATTTTAAACTTAAATAACTCCCGCATTTCATGGGTTATAGCTTTCAAACCTATATCAAAGGAAAGCCCCAAATGTTGTCTACAAACATTCACGTAAGATGAGGTACCGTTATATCGATATGTTTTAGAGATAACGGTACTTTTTAAAAAAAAGTCAAAGGAAAAAACAATAAAATTCACCCTGGTTCTCAATGGGTTAATAATATTTGTCATCTAACACATCAGTACAAAGCTCTGTGAAAGACCTTTCCAATGATACCCATATCGACAATATCCGTTTATCAGTGATCGAGATATATCCCATTATATATCAGACCTTTGGATGCCCATAACTCTCGAACCTTAATAGATAATTTTTTTCCTTTGTTGAAGTCACAAGAACAAGTACTATCATGTGGTATAAACAAAAGTTTTAAAATCAGCTGGATCAGAACGCTTCATTTATACCGCAAAAATAACTGTTAACATTTTGGGAAATAAATTGGCGGACTACCCATGAGGGGAGCGGCACCTCCCATATTAATTAAATGCGAAAATTCGTTTATCTGGGAAACTAATAGAAGTAAATTCTTCAACTTTTGCGCTAAGAACTTAAATATTCGTCTGAACATTTTGGATGAAAAAGATCGGACTTCCAACTGGGGGGGCTTAGAGCCCACATATGAAAAAAATTCGTATATCTGAGAAACTATTAGAGCTAGAATCTTCAAATTTTACTTGAAGAACTTTGACATTCATCTGAACAATTAGAGTATAACGGGCGGACTTTCAATGGGGGACTTGGTACCTCCCATATTAATTAAATACAAAATTTCGTTTATCTGGGAAACTAATAGAACTAGATTCTTCAAATTTTGCACAAATTACTTTAATCTTCATCTAAACATTTTGGAGAAAAAATGGTGGGCTTTTATCTTGGGGGCTTGAATTTAATAGAAAAATTCTTATATCTGAGAAACTATTAGATGTAGAATCTTTAAATATTACATGAAGTACTTTGACATTAATGTGAACATTTAGGGAATAATTGGCGGACTTTAAATGGGGGACTTGACACTTCCCATATTAATTAAATACTTTTGTATTCATTTATCTGGGAAACTAATAGAACTAGATTCTTCAAATTTTGCATAAATTACTTTAATATTCAACTGAACATTTTGGGGGAAAACGAGAAAACGAAAATTAATTAGAAAAAATCGTATATCTTAGAAACTATTAGAGTTAGAATATTCAAATTTTACTTGAAAAACTTTGACATTCATCTGAACAATTAGAGTATAACGGAAACTATTATATATATCTTGGAAACTATTATATTATTCACATTTTTCATAGATAGATAAAAATTGGCGAACTTTCAGTAATTTGCTTGGCATCTCTAATATGTAACATATTGTAAATCTAGAGAACTGTTGCAGTTAGAATCTTCAAAATCGTTAAGTGGGTTTTTTATTTATACTGCTTTTAGGGTAGCAAAGCACACTGGGTAAAGCTAGTATTTAAATAAAATACAAAACATACCAAATTTCGAAAAACAGAAAAAACCATTTCGGTGAAATTATATGTAATTATAATTATAATAAATAATTCTATGTAAAAATATGAAAAACATAAAATTTTTCCGAAAAAAAATTTGTAAAACGAAATTGTGTTATGTCATTGAAATTACCTCCCAAAGACCTTTCATATGATACTAAATTTGCATATGGTTTATTTGCAAGAAATATGATAAAAATCATAAAAACCTTAAAAAATAACCTTTTTATTCTTTGATCCAGGTCACCAAATATTGACGTCAGGACAAAAATTTTGAGAAATGATATCTTAGAATGAACTAAATTTACATTTGCGGTGGGAACACAAGCAACTTCCTTTTGGAGCCACCCTAATGTACATAAGTAACAGCGAATGGACGCTAATTAAATATTAAGCTATATATTTTGGCGGTATGAAATAACTCCCCACGAAATAACTCCCCAAAACAAAAATGAAATAAGTCCTCAAATTTGGGGATATATTTCATTAAGAAATAATTCCCCAATTTAAAAATGAAAAAACGCCCCAACGAAATGAAATAACTTCCTAAATTAAAATGAAATAAACTCCCATTTTTGGGGATTTATTTCATATGAAACAAATCCCCAATTTTTAAAATGAAATAAGTTCCCATTTAAAAACAACAAATTATGGAACAAATCGGTTTTAGTGATATTTCTAAAAAAAAGTGGGTCGCTCATACTTTCGAGTGGGGCTTCAAAGTTTATTACATTTCAGTTTAATCGCTTAATAAAGATTCCCTTAATAGCCGGCCTGCGGCCGGGCGCAAGGATTTTCTACTCTATGGTATGTCCAACGACGGCTTCGCTTAATAAATATTTCCTAAATAGCCGGCCTACGGCCGGACGCAAGGATTTACCACTCTATAATATGACAAACACCGGCTTCGCTTAGTAAAGATTTCCTAAAAGCCGAACACTCTTGATACAGGGAGAGTGTATTCTTAGCGAAGCCGGTGTCTAATGTACCCCAGAGGATAAAACCCTTGCGCCCGGCCAAAGGTCGGCTATCAGACATCTATTTTTTATTTCATGTGACAAAAGTAATGTAATGAAATTACTCCCCAAAAATATTTTTAGGGATTTATTTCATTTTTGAATTTTGAGGAATTATTTCATAATGAAATAACTCCCCATTTAAAAAGTGAAATAATGCCCAAAAAGCGAATTAAATCCCCAAATATCGTTGTTTTTGCTTTCTGAACAAATTTTTAGGGAGTTATTTCATTTTCGTGGGGAGTTATTTCATGACGCCATATATTTTATACACTACACCACTATAGTGGGGTGCTGCTGTTTGTAACACCCAAAAATATTGGTCCTACATCCACCATTATCTTCAGATGTCGAATTTTTAAATGAGAACTTATTTCATTTAAAAAAAAGGGATTTGTTTCATATGAAACAAATCCCCAAAATGGTATTATTTCATTTTAATTTAAAGAGTTATTTCATTTTGTTGGGACTTTTTTCATTTTTAAATTAGGGAATTATTTCATAATTAAATAAGTCCCCAAATTTGAGGAGTTATTTCATTTTTGTTTGGGGAGTTATTTCATGACGCCGGTAGAGGATATACATATGTATGTACATTAGAGTTCTCCAAAAAAAAAAACGAAGTTGCGAATTTTGCCCGTCCACCCTCTAGAATTGTTCTATGGATTGTAAAACTACATCATACAAAAAATAAGGCTGATAGGATAACGTTAACAGGTGCCGCAACGGCTCTGAAGTTTTCAAGTGCATTTACAAGGGGAAAAAATCTTTTTTTTTTCAGTCTGCACAATTAATAATAAACTTTACGCTTTAGTGTGAAAGAATCGTAATGTATATCCGAAGTTATATTCAAATCGGACTTTCTTAACCCATAAACTGTGGAGTTCAAAGGTCAAATTTTGCAATATTTGTGAATTCTCAGTGTACCATATCGAAATATTATTTATTTGTCGGCCAAATTTAATGAAGATGACTGGAATTTTTAGTATAAAGTAAAAATAAAAAATAAAATATGTAAATAACTTTGTTGTTTGTTCTTTGATATAAATTTTCTCTAGAAGATAAGATTTGGTCGAAATGTTAAGAAGGTATAATCGATAATTTTTGTACACCTCTAATATACAATGTACATACATACATATACATGCAAATAAAGTCAAGTATTTGTTATACTTGTGGTTTTAAATATCTTACTTTTCGATAAAATCTGGCTCCTGTAACTTTGTGAAATCCCTTTTTGTAAACTGCTTGATAGTCGTCTGGATGTGAGAACTTGAAAAGAATTCCACTTGCTGTTTTCGTTAAACTAAAGCATCCTTTAAAACTCATCTTTTCACATATTAATGCAGCACGTTCCATTGACAATTCATAAGATGGCGTTAGGAGAAATGCACCTTAAAGTATATAAATGTATAGTATTCTATAATTTTGTAATCGTACAGTGATAAAAGGCTTGAATACATATCGCTCATATACTACTACAAGACTGGTATAATCCACTCTGTGATATTAAAGTCTTTCATATAGTTTTGTCTATTTTTAAAAATGGCTATTATTTCCGGTGTGCTAGTGATTTTTTGTTGTAAAACGTCACGTATATTTGATAAGTAAAAATTTAGTTGAAGTTTAGATAAGAAACATACTAACATGTACTTTATATATCAAGTTTAATTTGTAAAATCCGGCGATTTATTTGAAAATTATTTAAAAAATGGCAAAATGTCAAACATTTAATGCTGTTACTCAAAACGGTTTTTTTTATTTATAACCTTCTTGTAATAAATGAGCGATATGTACGTAAGGTAATGACTTTGACACAATTTTCGAAAATTTCAAATGACTTCGGAAAAGTATATCACTTCCTAGGAACATTGAGTCTCTTATTAAAGAAAAGAGAACACTCAGACGTCAATGGCAACAATCACGATCTCCAAACATAAAGGTTAAACTTAATCAGTGCCAAAGAAGACTTCACATCGCTTTAAAGGATAATAAGGAATCTAATCTGAGAAATTATCTCAAAAACTTAGACCCTACTAAGAAAACAGAATATAGTCTCTGGAAAGCTGTTAAAAATATGCAGTGCCCTATTGCATATGAGTCACCTATACGCCTTCAGAATGGTCAATGGGCAAGAAATACGTCAGAAAAAATTGAAGCATTCGCCAATCACTTGGAGAATGTGTTTACTCAAAATGATACAGATTCTTCTATTAGTGCTAACATTATAAATAATGTGGTTCCACACCCAATAAAATTCCGGTTCTCTACCGTGAAGATGAAAATCAAAGGTCTAAAGGCAGGAAAATCACCTGGTATAGATAAAATTACTACCACGATGATAAGTAACCTGCCCAATTCAGCACTGAGAATTATTTTGTTCATCTTTAACTCGATGCTACGTATTGGATACTTCCCTAACTCATGGAAAGTATCCGAGATTGTTATCATACCAAAACCGGGGAAAGATGTCACTCAAGTGACATCATACCGTCCCATTAGCCTGTTGTCTTTATTCTCAAAACTTTTTGAAAAGTTATTGCTTGAAAGCCTTTTAGTACACTTTAACGATAATTGCATTATTCCTGGCCATCAGTTTGGTTTCAGAAGAAAGCACAGCACTATCGAACAGGTACATCGAATAACAACTCTTATTCGGAAGGCCTTCGAGAGCAAGCAATATTGCTCTGCATTATTCATAGATATTTCTCAAGCTTTTGATAAAGTCTGGCACGATGGACTAATACACAAAATTATCACATTACTACCTGCGAATGTTCACAAACTGCTTAAAAATTACATATATGAAAGATCTTTTCAAATCAGATCTAAAGATGTGATCTCTTCACGTCGAAAAATATCTGCTGGAGTACCCCAGGGGAGTATTCTAGGTCCGCTCCTATATATTTTATATACTGCAGATATGCCAACGAGCGCACTGACTCACACATCTACATTTGCGGATGATACCGCTTTTGTAAGCATGCATGCAAACCCTTCAATAGCTTCTGAACAACTCCAGTTTCACATCGGCGAATTGGAAAAATGGCTGGACAAATGGAAAATAAAAGTCAATGCTACAAAATGTACTCACGTTACATTTACTTTAAGAAGGGAAAATTGTCCTCCCCTGCAGATAAACAATATAAAAATTCCTGAACAAAGCCATGTGAGATATCTTGGTATCCACCTTGATCGCCGCTTAACATGGACTCACCACATTGAAGCCAAGGTTACACAAATAAAATTAAAGTCAGCTCAATTGTACTGGCTAATTGGACCACGGTCTGCTCTAGACTTGGAGTACAAAGTGCTTTTGTACAAAACAGTTATAAAACCGATATGGCTATACGGCATTCAACTGTGGGGAACAGCCTCCTCATCTAATGTTGAAAAATTACAAAGAAAGCAGTCAGCACTGTTAAGGTCAATAACAGGTGCCCCGTGGTACATTCGCAATAGTAATATTCATAGGGATCTCAATGTCCCCATAATACGCGAGGAGATCAAACTCTCTTGTTTAACCTACCTGTCGAAACTAATGGATCACCCAAATCCCCTTGCCAGGGAGTTGCTGTCATTTGAGGGTCATAGACGACTGAGAAGAACGGAAACATTGGATTTTGCCAGATAATCAAATTATCGAGAACTTTTGTTGAAATTGCAGTGGCAATAACGACGTTAGTTATAGTTTAGGTTAAGATTTCAATACTTATTGTAAATTTCTATGTAAGAAAGATTCAATAAATAATAACTAAAATGAAAAAAAAAAAAAAAAACTTTTTCCGAACGTTAAAAAAGTTTCCGCTACAATAGCTTTAAAGTTTTTGATATACATATGTATCTAAACAAAATTTTAAATTTTTTATTACAAAATCGAACATTTTTTAATATAAAAGGGGTAATTATTTAATCCACTTTGAACGTATAAAAAGCAAGGATAGGGGCTACGGTTTATCCATCTGTCTGTTTGTCTGTATTTACGTTGGGTCCGAACTAGTGTTTTTCATGGGAATTACAGGGACGGGAAATCGCGGGAATTGCGCAGAATTTTCAATCCCGAATTCCTACTGGAATTATTTTCCTTAGTTTTATGTGATATTTTTACAAAAAATTTTGTTTACAATAAATATGTAACATTGTACAATGTACATTAGGGAGTCCCGTGGACCTCTTTTTAGGATGAATACCTCTAAAACGATGCGTTTCAATGTACTAAATACGAGAAAAATAAAAAAATATTTTTTGAAATGGTCCTTAGTTCCCCACCTGCGATTGAATATCTTGATCTCAGTTCAATATGTTCTAGAAAAAAATTTTGCGATCTTTTTGAATTGGGTGTCAAAAATTACCGAGCTTGTCGCTGTAAAAATAATTAAAATTTTTGTTATTGTATTTCTGGTCCGCAAAACGACTTTTATTGTTATAAGGGGCATATAAATTTCAAAAATTCTAAACCAAATGCCAAACTATTTTTAAATATTTTTCTGTATGAGCTAAAATTACAACAATTTTAACACCCATTTCGATTAAAAGCGAAATCAATATGCCTCTTCAACACACTAAAAATCATTTTATGGACCAAAAAAATTCTACAAAAATTTTAAAATTATTTTTCCCGTAATCAGCTCAAAATTACGGAATTTTTGAGACCAATTTCGAAAAAATCGAATGTAATTTATTTTTCATAATTTTCACTGAAGTCAGGATTTTCAATCGCTGCACAGTGGCGGCCAAAAATCAATATCTCTAAAACCAAAAAAGCTAGGGTCTTCAAAATTGGTCAGATCATAGCATGTCCTAAGAGCTTAAAGGACAAATTTTGGGGAAAAATATTAGCAACTGTAGCCAAAGTAGCCATTTGATCTTTAAAGGGTTAATTGGATAATAGATTTATTTTAAGAATATTTGAAAAAAGTATGAAAATTCGTTTCAGGATGCACTAAGTAAGGTGAAATCGTTAAGGCAGCTGATTTTTACTTGTTTATTAAAAAAGTGCTTGGGTTGTGTCAAAATAAATTAATTTATTTTTATTCTAAAAAATTGTATTTGTTTTTTCAAAGCAAAAAAATTTAAAATTTAAATTTATGAATTAAAATGTTCATAAAAAGTTTTCAAATAAGAAAACTCTGATGAAGAAGCATTAAAACATTGTCCTGCTGCAGATGCAAGCTAAATGTAACGACGGTTTTATAGGTAATATTGTGAAATACACAAAAAATATTTCTTTCCAATGTTTGTTATTTTTCAATTTTAGAAATTTCATTTTGACAAAACCCAACTCTAGACAACAAAAAAATATTGTGTTTGTTGTGTTTGTTGCCGAAACGCTCTCACCTTACTTATTACATCATGATTCGTTTGTTTCAAAAAATGTTGGAAAATTTTTATTCCATTTTAATTAATTTGAAATATACACTGAAAAAAATTCAAATAAAAAAGTTATACATAGTTATATAATGCAATTAGAAGTATTATTTAATAATATAAGATAATAAAGTGAAATAAGATATTAATATACACATATCAAATATTACTCCTTGATTTAAACCGTTAAATTACTTCTTTTCTTTGTTGGAAAGTTTCGGAGTCAGGAAAAAACATGGATCTGAACTTAAAAAGAGCCTATTTAAAAGGTCTGTATTTGTACCAGTACGCGAAATTTTTCTGTATGTTGCATTCTAATCCTCCATGCTTGTATGTTTGATCATCTCAGCTCCATGGATTACTGGAGGAGGGAGGTAATGCAAGAGATACTCCTCAACAAGTTTTCTGGCTGTCTCTACAGTACCTCGTTTCTGTATTTTTCTCGAATAGAGAAAAAATTAAAATATAATAGTCTCCAGGGTGACTCTGATTATTTTTAAACTGTATTCATTTAAATTTAATAAGAAATGTTTGATCATGATCATGAATTTTTCGACAGATTTTCTCGATGCGAGAATTACATGAACGGGATACAGCAAATTCCCCAAACTTTTCGGCATCAATTTCAAATTTAATTTTAGATAGTTTACGCCTCTTTGTTCTTGCTGAAGACCTGTGTTTTGAAAAGGTCAAAAAAAGCATTCTTCAGGGATTTTTTAATGGGTTTTAATTTTTCCAGTTTTTGTCATTTAATCTGATAGAAAATAAGTTAAAATTTTTGGAGACTTTGCCACAATAACAAAAACATTTTTTTAATTATACCCTCCACCACCATCAGTGGTGATAGAGGGTATATATAAGTCTGTCGTTCCGTGTGTAACACCAAGAAATATTCATTTAAGAGCCATCAAAGTATATATATTCTGGGTCCTTATGAAATTCTGAGTCGATTTAGCTATGTCCGTCTGTCCGTATGTCTGTCTGTCTGCCACGTTAAATCTAAGCAAAGGAAATTAACCAAAATATT